CAGGCTCCTTGCTCAGCAGGGAGCCTGTTTCCCTCTGCCTGCCACTCTCCCTGCTTGTGCGCTCACTCTCTCTCTCTCTCTCTGACAAATAAATAAATAAATCTTTTAAAAAATTTTTAAAAACCTGAATGAACTGGTTTGTTTCTCCATTAATAATATTTTGAAGTTCCTATTATATGTATACATATATTTGAATGTATGTATATGTTTATTTTAATAAATACTTGTTCCCTTCAAAATTCACCAAGACTATATTTATAACAGATTAATTGGCTCACTCTTGCTTCTTTAAAACACACACAAAAAAAAACAAAATAAAATTTGTCTACAAAATGAAATTTCAGAAAAGATTATATTTCTCTTTAGTGATTTTTCAAAGCAGAAAATGCCTTAGCACCAAAGGCTAGAAGTTGAACTTTTATGGGTCATGAACAGCTGTTGCAACTAATCTTAACTTTGCACAGACAATAGCTAAACAGCATTTTATATGTGGGCTTTACAGACTAAAACATTGTCTACTGTGGCCAGAAGCAAATTGGAAAATAGTCAAATCCATGTCATTTCAGGCAAATAGTCTTTGCATTGTTAATATAATCAAGTACCCATCTGAAGAGAACACTGTCTTCTTATCGAAATTTTAAAATTTGCAGAAGCACAAAAAGATCCAAAAACAGAGCTTAATAAAAATGCTAGCAAAAGGAAGAATTATACCAGATATCAAGAGCAATTGCAAAATGGAAAAGGCTTACTTATCGAAAAAGTTATGTCAAAATATCCTGTTTTAGACATGAAAGGACCAGAAAAGACCCTTCAATTATGCCAGAAAAAAAGTAAGTGGTAAAGAATGGATGCTTCTGAGAATTTCAGACTCAAAAGATAATAAAAAGTAATTTTAAACTTGTTTAGGCGATATGCTAATTGGAAGAGTGAAGAATCCAACTTAGCTATTACATACGAAATAATCATACCAAGGAGACTAACGCATTTGAGAATCTATTTAATGAGGGAAGAATGGTAGTGAGAAGCTCAGACAAGAACCTAGGAATAGCTAACATGATCACATTGAAGTTACGTATTTCTTTAAAGGAGAAATAAAAGTCCTGACAATCATTTATGTGATATTATATCTCAGATTGGATCATTTCTTCTCAGGGTTCAGAGGATATCCATGTGGATGAGCCTAAGGATCCTTTTATTTTTTATGCCTACTTTTGAGTAAATTACTATTGCTGGAGAGAGTCACCGAATACGAAATATTGATGCCACAATGAATTCCTAATTACCAATTTCAAATTGGTCTTGTCAGCAGTGCCTGGTAATTCTACCTACTTCCTTGGCCAACTGGCTCTCCCTCTCTACAATGTTTCAACATTCCTTTATTTTCCTCAAATCATCAACATAATTAAATCTCCCAGGTATTCCTATCCTATTCCAAGCAGCAATCTTCTCATCCAAACCAAAACAATAGACAATTTAGTTACTTCCCTGCTTCCATTCCTTTCTTTCCTTTAGTCTATTCTCCATACTAAAATCTGATTATTCTCTAATCACCTAATCACCTCAACAACTTGCCACAGGACAAAAGACCTACAACCTGCTGAACAACTCCGTCTCAAACCACTTCGCCCTTCACTTTCTGTTACAGTAGTCTTTAATTTCTCAAGTGCCCAATGCTTCCCGCAACCTTACCCATAGCTTTGGTTTCCTGGGGCTGTTGTAACAAAGTCATACAAATGGAGTGACTTAAAACAACAGAATTTTATTGTCTTAACAGTTCTGGAAGCTAGAAGTCTGAAATCAAGCAGCTGGCAAGGGCCATGCTCCCTCAGAAACCTGTAAGGAAATCCTTCCTTGCCTCCTCCTAGCTTTTTGTGGTTTGCTGACAGTCTTTGGCACTCCTTGGCTTTTTTCTTTTTTTCTTTTAATTTAAATTCAATTAGCCAAAATATAGTACATCATTGGTTTTTGATGTGGTGTTCAGTGATTCATTAGTTGCATATAAGACCTAGGGCTCATCACCACACGTGCCTTCCTTAATGCCCATCATCCTGTTACCCCATCTCCTCAACCACCTCCCCTTCCGCCACCCTTCCGCAACCCTCAGTTTGTTTCCCACAGTCAAGAGTCTCTCATGGTTTCTCTCTCCTGATTTCTTTAGAAATGCATCATTCAATTCGGTGCATCATTCAATTCTCCATCTTTGTATGGCACTCTCCATATGTTTCTCTCTGCTGCCAAAGTCCTCCTTTAAATCAATCATATTGGATTAAGATCCACCCTAATGACCTTATTTTGACTCAGTTGCCTTTATAAAAACTCAGTTTCCAACTAAGGTCACATTCTGTGGTACAGGAGTTTAGGACTTAAACACATCTTTTTGAGAGACACACAGTCAACCAATAAAATTCCATTAACACAGGAGTTTTTCACAGGTTCTTTGTTCTTCCACATATCTTCTGGCAATCTTTATTCTTCTGCTACCCTGCCTAGTCACCTTTCCAAATTTCAACCCAGAATGACTTTTCTTAAGGAAGACTGAGTCACAATCTAAATATGTTTTTCCAAGTAAATGCATTCACATGGCTATATATTGCTTGCCTTTGTAACACTTGTCATATTTGGAATTTTATGTTTATTTTACATTATTCGGTTAGTATCTATCTACTTCACTGGACTCTGAGCTCTGTGAAGGTCATTTCTCTTCAGTGTTGTATCACTATACGTCTAGAATACTACAATAGGCATTCAGTAAGTGTTCAGCTGAATGAATAATGGATCAAAGCAGAAATGACAAAAATGTCAACTTGAATTTCCTAATTTTCACTAAATTTTCCTATTTCACTAAAGTGTTAGTTAATGAGAATATAAATTGATTGTTTTCATATATTTCATATAAAGCCATATTCTCCCTGACAAGAAATAATTTCTATAATAGAGAGTAATTCACCAAAACCATCAATAAAGAACTTGTACCATTTTTTTAATTATTTGTGCTGTAGTAACTGTACAGGACTCTGCCCCTCTCATGTCACTCAAATTCTCTTTTTAGTCTCAAAAAATCAACAGTTCCAAACATCCAAATTGCATTCATACACTTCCAGGGCAAACAAAAAAGCAAAAGATTATGACAGAGTTGAGGAGTATTCAGTTCAGTGCGACAACATTTATTGATAAGTGCTGTGCTTGTCTCTAGAAACACCCACGAAGCAACAAGTCAATAGAAGAAAAGAAATGTTGTGGTGAATCATAATCAGCCCCAGTGGAAACAGAAATGCCCAACTACAAATATTACCTTTCTATGCTTTAATATTGCATATGCACGCTTTTAGATTCCAAGGCAAAATGTGATTCTTTGGATGGCATCTATCTTGTATATTTTTCTTTCTCTTCCACAATTCCTTATATGAGTCATATTCAAAGCTACGGTCTGGAAACATACAGACTTTGAAGATTGGCAGAACTGGTTTAGCATTCTAGCTCTTACTATCTGGGTCATTCTGAACAATTAATGTCTTTAAGCTTCACTTTCATGTAAAATAGAGATAATATTATTTGGTTGATTAGATTGTTCTGGATATTAAATAATGTATATTATAAATTGCCTGCCCATGGTTAGCAATCAGTAACTTGCTATTATTCACCAAAATAATCACAAAAGGTACATTTTAAACTATTTTCAGTTTCAAACATATGCATCTTCTTTTCTTGTGTGGTTCACTTAATCTTCTGAAACTCTGGTACTGTTTTTATGATTTTTTTTCATACCTAACATTCACTTATACCTATTAGCTGGCATACATAATACTAACTTTAGTTGAATTTACTTAAAGGAAAAATCCTTAGTTTATTATTTGTAGTATATAGATAAGTTCCAATATATCTAGTAAAGGTCCAATTCTGCCTAATAGTTATAAAACAAAGAGCAATAAAGCAAATTAATAAATTATCCTTATTTTGAAATATTTATTCTTAAGATTAAAATGTTTGGGTTTAATATTCATTCTTTGATTAAATTGTTGCCTTTGAAAATTTTGCATAAATCAAAAAATATTTGAGAAACACAGAATGGTCAACAGTAAAATAAATAATGTTTCATTGATAGTAATGCAGAAATATAATTAATTTTTTGTATAATTTGTAACTAATTTTCTGCTCTATTAGACAGAATTTGGCAATCAGACATATTATTTAAAACTTTAAATTGATTCTCCCAGACATAATTACTATTTTACCAAGTGGCTATAGCTTGACTTTTGCTACCATATTCAGAGTTTACAATTTCCCACAAACTCGCACTTTAAAAGCCAAGTATATTTTCCTACAACTATCATGTTATACATAGTTACATAGATACTATGAAGATTTTCATGATAAACCAAGAATTCGATTTTAGAGGTAACAGCAAGGCAGAGCCTGCCTCGGTCAAACTTGACTTATTCATTATTATCTGAATCCTGAACTTGGCTGTTGATATTTTTAAATGGAGTTGTTGATGATATCCTTTATAGAGGTTCCTCATCTTTGTCAGTCATAACCATATTAGTTCTCCAGAATTTTCTTGTAAACAGTTGAACATGCAGAAGAAAAAGGGAGGTCTTGAGGTACAGAACTCATATTTTTAAGCACTTACTATGCACTTTTCCACTTCCATTCAGCAGACATTTACGAATTCTGATGTGTTAGGCATAGCACCAAATAATCGATACCTTTCACTTACATTATTTCTATTAATCTTGACTTCACCTCTGTAAGGCGGGTGTGCTTATTTCTATTTTTAAAATAATGAACCTGGGTTTCAAAATAGTTAAATAAGTGACAGACTAGGATTTGAAACTTAATCTGCCTGATTCTCAAAACTATGCCATGATTATTATTCTATGTTACCTCTACATAAGCAAAATCCTCCTTAACTTGCTTACCAGAGAAATAATTCCTTTGAAACTCCATTTTAACTCTGTAGCAAGAGAGACAAAAAAATGGTTTTGTTTGTTTTTATATAGGTATATGGCCATTATTGATCCCTTGAAACCCAGACTGTCTGCCACAGCAACCAAGATCGTCATTGGAAGTATTTGGATTCTAGCATTCCTACTTGCCTTCCCTCAGTGTCTTTACGCCAAAATTAAAGTCATGCCAGGCCGTACTCTTTGCTATGTGCAATGGCCAGAAGGTCCCAAACAACATTTCATGTAAGTTAATTCTCTATTGTGGTTTTCAATTCAACTTATTAAATACTTGAGGAACTACAGGTTGGGAGCAACAATTAAGCAAATAAGACATAAGCATTTCCCTTAAGGGTTCACACATTAGTTGGGAAAAAGAGATATTAAAATATTATAATACATGGACTGCCTGACTGGCTCAGTCGGTAGAGCAACTCTTGATCTCAGGGGTGTGAGTTCGAGCCCCATATTGGGTGTAGAGATTACTTAAAAATAAAATCTTTTAAAAAGGGGGGGCGGCTAAAATACTACCATATAATATGATCAGTAAGTTTTGTAAGTTTCAAAGGTTTCTATTAGGAAATATTTGATGACATTTATATGGGTTTGAATTAGGGAATTTCCTGGAGGAAGTGATAAGATCCCTGGAGATGAAACCATTACACAAATAAAAGCAGGGTTCTTATTGATTGAGAAAAGAATGAGAAGGGAAGAACTGAAGCCCAAAGGTGTGGCTTGCCCTTTTATAAAATCCTGGCCAGGGAAAGGCAGTTCTGGAAGCTCCACAAAACTTTGTACAAATTCTAGTTGTGCGGTTATATTATCTGTCGCCCTCCTCTTCTTCCCCAACTGCATCCTTACGATTTTAATCGAAAGCTATGAAGTCCTAGAATTTAGTTTGCTAATTTACACTGGTGTGATTAACACATCTGAATGTTATTTACCAAATTAATAATGCTATCAGATGTGTCATGACATTGGAAAAATGAATGTAAATGTCATTACCTGATTTTTTAAATTACAGTCATATAACTTGTGGATCCAAAGTGGCTTCGAGTAGTTACATTTTTTTATTTGGATAAAAAACAATTTGTTTCAAATATGACTGGTGTTGCAGAGATATATAGAACAATTTTACATATGAGAAAATATCTCTCAGTTGATTCATCTCTTTCTCTCTGATGATAAATTTAGTTATATTAATTCAACAATTACCAAGCAGAAAAATGGCATTCATCCTGAACCTCTAGGCAGGGAGAACCTGGGTAGTAGTTTAAATCAGCATTGCAATGCAGCTAGAGTTTTTGCATATGAATCAGAGATTGACAAGGATCAACTGGTAGTATTTGGATGACAGTAGTAGACAATAACATGATATCTTGACAGATTTGTGAAATGATAACTTGGAGAAAATGTGGAAATAATCTTTGGAATTTTCAATTATGATTTAAAAGGTAATGAATGCAAAGTTCCATATGCAGTATCAACATGTGGGTTTTTTTTTTTTCCATTTTTTGCAGTTACCATATTATTGTCATTATACTGGTGTACTGCTTTCCATTGCTCGTCATGGGTGTCACATACACCATTGTTGGAATTACTCTCTGGGGAGGAGAGATCCCAGGAGATACCTGTGACAAATATCATGAGCAGCTAAAGGCTAAAAGAAAGGTACTGTTCAATATTATTTTACATAGGATTTGTGTATGAGCCCAACAGAGAGGGGGAAACCTAGTCATAGCATTTCAATATGATTGGATGCTTTACTCTCATTTTTTGCCTGTTTTCTTTCTATCTACCCATTTTTTCTTTTAGTTTATGTCTTCTATAAGCAATGTCTATGTACAATATCGGTCCGGATTAGATAATCACTTTCTTACAGCAGGACTTGTACGACCTTTTGCAGAGTGTTCTCAATTATTTCATCTGAAACTTTTGAAATCTCACTTGAAGTCCCAGTGACTATATTTCTGCAGTTGTAGCTACCTTTGTCCTTTATTGAACAGAATACCCCTGATGTACTCTAATCTTCCAGAAGCTTCTTTTATCCCAGGAATCTCTCCTAGTATGTGCTATAATTTCCCAATATCCATCTACCTATCCCTCTCCTCCTAAACATGCCTCCCCTCCTCCCCTAGCCCCATCTAATTTCTACCAAGCCATCATGTATGTCTGATTAAGAGATGAGAGCTGCAATATAGCTCTTCTATGACTTACTGGGTGGCAAGAAAAAGCTTATTTTTGAACAACTCACATGAAACAAAAAGCCTCTAAAAATTATTATATTGACATTTTACTAGGATTTTTTTATGAAGATTTTTTTTTCTATCATGTGACTCAAGTGAGATTTTTTAAAAATGTGCGGAGTTGAAAAGAATCCTAGAGTTGTCTATTCCATATTCCTTTCTCTGGTTGATGTGTTCCTCATACAAATCAGAGAGATTTTCCCAAAAAGGAAAGAGTCATACTGATTATGCCAATTATTATTTATTCCATTTGTGATTCATTTATTTATGTAGAACTCTACTTACTACATGGACACTTCCTTAAAAAACACTCAACAATTTAAAAACCACTTACCTAAAAACCCTCATTTAATAAAGATCAATCATGTTTTAAAATCTAATGTAGCAAATAGATTTCATTTTAGTTTTTTCCTCTGTTACCGATAAATAAAGGAAAACAAGATTTATGTCCAGTTCACATTTTATCATGGTCTTTAGTATTTGAAAACAAAAAGTGCATGAACTTTTCACATTAATTTAGTCATTTCAGCCTATAATATGGATAATTATGGGTTTCTCTTTCAAAGAAACTTACCTTAAAAATGAAGTGAAACTATGCCTTTAGCACACACACACACACACAAAAAAAAGTCCCTAAAACTAGGAGAACATAAATAACACACATCTTAAATGAACAGTTTCTCTTTCCATTTTGTAGTGTCAGCTCTCATTTTCCAACATCTTGCTCATATTGCAGTAGACTTGGGGGGTAATATTTTTTATAGCTGTGTTTTAGGTGTCATCACATTAAATAACTGATAGGTATTTCAGAGTAACATTTATCTCTGTACTGACCACTTAGCTTCCCATCTTTTATTTCTTTCTTTTGGTTTAGGCATATTTTTTAAAATATTTTTTCTTGTTCACTCCTAAGCAAATTAAAATAAGCCCAGTAATTGTTGACGATAGTTCTCTTTTTCTCATATTCATGTAATAATGTCTATCAAGAAATGAAAAGCTCATGTGAGTGTTCTTTTTTAATTTTGATTTGAGTCCCAGGGGGAAGAAAAGCAAAAGGCAGTATTTTTGTCTTTGCCCTCCTATAACTGATGATAGTAAGGCATAAATATTTACTTTTTGTTTCATTACTCTATGATTTCAAAGCATAAATGCCAATTCAAACTGAGAGGAACCCTTCTAGAACATTTCAAAAAAGTAAGACATTTAAAAGTTCCAGTCCATATTTCTGTCATACTGTGTTCTGGGCTAAAATAATCCAAAATGACATCCATGCCATGGACCTCTCATAATAAATCACCTTACCCTTGGATTCCCTTCATAGGCATGTATTAGAATGATCAAGCTTATTGCAGAAATAACACTCATTTCTAAAAATTTAAAAAATAGAGCTGGCTTTTTCTTAATTTATTTGTACCTAAAATTAGAATACTATGGTCTGGAATACAGTTATTTATCTAGTAATAATATTTTTTTTTATATTTTAATATGACAAATTAGGTCAAAGATGTAAATCCCACCCTGGATAAGCACTTTAATAATATGCTATCTTCTAGGGAAATACATCTTTGGTGATATAGATTGGACTTCAGAGATTAAATAAGAGGGTATCAGTTACGTAGTACAAATTCATGATGACTGTGGGGAAGAATGACTCCATAACAACTCTGAGCCAGCCTCTTAGTTATAAAAGAGTAATAATGCCCCAAACACACATTAACAAGAATAAATGAAAGCTTATAAAATTTAGGCAACTCACTGAGATCTCTGCCACCACTGAGAAACATTACTTCCATTTTTCTTTCTCCCACAAACTGCAGGAATTGTGCCCAATTTCAAACATTAGACATCAACTTCTCTGAAGAACAGCCAGTAAAATAAATTACTATGTCAAAGCTATAATGAATTTAGCAACCTAAATATTAAACTAACATGAAACTTTCAGGTAATTGAGGATTAACTTCCCCATTCAATCTTTACATATGACCTGTCTAAGTATATTTATAGTTTGAAAATAATACCAGTAGTTCTAGCTAGTACCAGGTAAAAAACCTAAATATTAGTCTTGAGAAGTAAGTTAATACCTCTAGAAATATTTTCTCATCATTAAAATTGGAGTGTTGAAACTGAAAATCAGTATTAAAATTCGATGGCTCTACCAGCTCACTCAACACTAGGAGGTAATAGGTAAGATTGTCTGACATTTGAGTCAGATATATAGAACTAGTCTTCCAAAAATATGTTAACAATCACATTAATAAAGTCTTTCTTATGGAGTGTATTTTACAACTTCAGAGTATTTTGTGTACCTCATAGCACAGCCAGGTGTATTTAATTTATGGTAAGTGTGCTAGATTTTAAAATAATGTATTTTATATAACCACTGGCTTTCATAGAAGTTCATTTAAATATGCATGTTGAAATAGTAATGTACCTTTAATGTAATAAAGTGGGTAAATTAAGAATCCAGGCACTTTAAATAAGAATATCTTCAAATAGTAGAAAAATATAAAGTTTTGGTTAATATCACACAATGCCCAGAGTCTTAGCTCTCATTAGTTCATTTTTTGAGGGTAGTAATTTGTTAATATTCTTGCCAAAGCTCTCCTTCAAGAAATGTGTACTACTATTTTGTGCACTGTTTTATTCAAATTGAAAATATAATATTTTTACAAATTTTTAAGAGAATGCTTTTCTAACATTTTCCTGTTTGTTGAGCTTGTTATACTAATGTTTACATTCCAGTGTAAGAATACTTTAGTGTCTGGAAGAAAAAACTGATCTTGTTCTACTTTGTTCTACTTACTGATGGATATAGTCACAGATTTTGGCTACCCTATGCATGAAAGCCATCTACTTGAAGTCATAACAATTATACAACAAAATTTGAAACTTTATCTCTTTATGTTGGCATATAAAGAGTCAGATTTTTAATATCTAGTGGTCAACTCAAAAAGCTGATTTTAAAAGACATCTGCAATTTAAAAAATGAACCACAGATCTGATCAGAACCTAAAATTTCATGAATCCCTTGCTTACTGCTATTCTGGAGTAAAATCAAATGCAGTATAAGGAAGAAATGAGTATGGGGTGCTAACATCTCATATTTAGGATGTTTTGGTAAAAGAAATCTAGTGTGTTCTTTGACATTTTTTCAGTCTTGTCAATGTTGTTCCATTTCCTTAAGTATCTAGAAGAAAACTGTAGATACTGTCTCAGAAGCCATGGTAATGCTTATTTGAGTTAGAATCTTATCTACAACTAAATCTACACAACTACAATTTGAAAGCTGCACTTTGGAAACAGAGAGGAGTTGCTATCGGTCTCTCCCACTTAGTATTCTCATATATTGACTACTTTCTTGGCAATGTGGCTGAAAAAAAAGTAGTGACGTTCTCCTATAAATGATATTAAACTCTTGGCAATAACAAAATATATCTCAAAATATATGTGTGAGTCTGCTGGCATCTTGGAGCAACTATTTAGAAATAAATTCTAGAAGACCAGTGATAAGCAAGATGGAAAGAAAATAAATTATATTTATTAATGGATATATGAGTTGGACATAAAGCATAGTTTAACACATTAAATAATTATAATTATTAAATTCATCTATAAGAAAAATAAATGGTGGCTAGAGAAGGAAAACAATGATAAGAACTATATCAGATCAACTTTAATTCATTCATCAAAGGTGATATATTAGAAGTTCCTATTATAGAAAGACCACTGACAAAGTTTATCTGATACCAGAAAAAAAAAAATGTTATCTTGTGATATTCTTATAAATCAAATAAATAAAAATGGCCTTGTTGCAAATCATACTAGTATTGATTTAATTAGGATGCTCCATGTGTGCTGATGAAGAGAATGGTGTCAATCTAAAAAGAGGCTTGGAGGGGCACGCCAGAGAGCTCTATCCTAAGTACTAGCTCATTCAAAATTGATCAATAACTATGTGGCCATGATAAATAAGCCTACAGATAGAGACAGAATATTAGATAAGGGGCACCTGGGTGGCTTAGTGGGTTAAGCCTCTACCTTGGGCTCAGGTCATGGTCTCAGAGTCCTGGGACCAAGCCCCACTCAGCGGAGAGCCTGCTTCCCCCTCTCTCTCTGCTTGCCTCTCTGCTTACTTGTGATCTCTCTCTCTGTCAATAAATAAAATCTTAAAAAAAAAAAAAAATATTAGATGACTGAATTAAGAACTAGGAAGGCCTAGAACAGAGGGCCATGTACATGCATGCTGTATGGTCTTGATCCCATGGTTCACAAAAAAGAGTGGGGTCTTAGATGTCAATGATCTCTATTCTTTTTTATTTTTTTTAATTTAAAGATATTTATTTATTTGAGAGCAGGGGGAGGGGCAGAGGGAGAGAGAGAATCTCAAGCAAACACCATGCTAAATCCAGAGCCTTACCTGGGGCT